TCTTAAAATTGAGGATATTGTTTAATTTCCAGTTAATATTTTGTTTCCTGTTATTGAGGAGATATCGTTGTCTTCAGCCAAACCGGACATCAAACAATCTCCACCCTTAAACTAAATTTTTAATTTTCATACTAAGATCAAATGGGGCACTTAAGTAAGATATCACAAGATGATTAAGAAATATACTCATAAATAAATTGAAAAAATATTTCCAGTCCCGTCATGTCAGAAACCGCAGTTAAGTCCTTTCAAAAAGTTTCACTATTGCTACAATTTTTCAATTTCCAACATCCTCTTTCTCAAGGAAATTGATATGAAATGCAAAATGTTATTTGTCGGCAAATGTTTCGACAATAGTATTTTGATATTTTATGTTATTTACTGTAAACAAACAATAGATTTCCGGCGATCAAAACTAAATTGCTTTGAGAAGTTGGTTCTGAAATCGAAGATCGAAGATAAAAATTCAGTTCATAGTGAATATCGAGCTAGCATTGGATTTCGAGCTAAGATCAAAATTCAATGTAAATCAAAGCTGAATATTGAGCTGGAGATGAATTTCGAGTTGAGTCGCAAATGGAAAATTAATTCAAACTTTCTTAAGGCCGGATTTCGAATGGAACTGAATTTCAAGTCAGCTAGGAGATCGAAATTCAAAATTTTCAAAAGCCGAATTTCGAGCTGGAGTTGAATTTCGGGCCAGCTCGAAGATCGAAATTCAAAATTTAAAAAAATCCGATTTCAAGCTAAATGTGAATTTCGAGTTCGCTCGAAGATCATAAATCAAAATTTCAAAATTCTGGAAACAAAGTGATCCCTCGGAAGCATTAATCACAACAAAATAACATGAGAATTGCAGACTCGGTTTGATTGAGTCTGTACATGAGGGATAATGAATAAGTGCAACAACCCTCACGCCCACTAGCACCGGTTTGAGCGGTACTAAATTCTCAACACTTCATAGTGTTGGCATTAACTATTCCGAAGGACCAGAAAATATAACAACACTTAAGTGAAGTACGCAAAAGCCGAATTTCGAGCTGGAGTTGGATTTTGAGCCAGCTTGAAGACCAAAATTCGAAAATTTCAAAACCTAAATTTCGAGCTGGAGTTGATTTTCGAGCTGGCCCGAAATTCAACTCGAAAATCAAAATGCATCTCCAGCTTTGATTTACTTTGAATTTTGATCTTGGGGCAAGCTTGGAACTTCAAGGCTAGCTCGATATTCACTATAAACTGTATTTCGATCTTTGATCTTAGATGTCAAAACCAACTTCTTGTTACCTGTTCCATTACTTTTGAAATATTTCTTTATATTTGGTAATGCATTAGAAGACAAAGTTTAAGTTGGGGATTGACCTCGAGGTTATGTTAGGGCAAATTCCAGCAGACATAAAAAATATAATGTGGCATTATCATTATTTTAACCAAACTTTTAAATTTAAACAGAAAATAATGATTGAAATTTATAATTCTACAGACTGTAGGAGTTTTTTATCCTGCGGATAAACAGACACTAAAGATAGGAGCTTTAAAATCCAAACTGGAAATGGACGTGAGACGGATCAGTACATATTTAAGAATCTTACTATTTCTCGTCAAGGAAAGGTATAATATTTTTTTACTTTTACATCCTTAATCAAATTTAAAACCATTTTTTAGCTGATTTATATTTTGGCACTGAAAATCATTAAATTGTGTACATTGTAACTTTACATAAGACCATTTGTAAGAATATTAAGTTTTCTACTATTTCGTTCCTTATTTAATGTAAAATGGAATTCGAAGGATTCCTTTGTCCTAGTTCCATTTGTTACCACGCAAAATGTTAGCATGTTTTAAAATACTAAAGGATTCAATTCATGGGAATTCCTACACATTAATACATGCATTCAAATAACAAATGTTCATACTTATACATTTACTGCTAAGGATTTAATACCACTTTTACCGTTGCCACAGCACATCATAAATGTTGCACTTCATTCAGCTTCGATTTTCAGCTATTCGTTCCGGTTTCCATTGTACTTGAAAAGTGCTTGTTGTACACATTTCAGATTTTTTTAAAATATCATTTGATTTATTTATAGTCTAGATCAGAAAAGGTAACTATACCAAATATACAATTTAAACATTGGAACGACAACCAGGCCGTCCCGAAACAACCGAAAGCTTTTGTACAGTTTGCGAAAGATGTAGAGCTGAAATTTGGTGGAAATGGCCCAACACTTGTACATTGCAGGTATTTGTTTTAAGTACCATTCGATAATTTAAGTGACGTTCATGAAATTCTGTGGGCGACTTTTATATTTAAAGATCATTGTCCAGTTTTAGTACATAGATAATTTTCCTTGTCTGTTACTATTATTTCTTCTTATGTATAATTGTTGTGATTAGCCTGTTTATTGTTCATTTAAGACCGCCTTTCCTTGTTGATCTTGTTAATCATATTTTAGTTATGAATAAGTAAGTATTGTTTTATCTTCATAAAGTTGATAAAATATAACATGAATAATGATTGATATAAGGATATGTTGTAAGACAATGGTGAGGTTAAAAAATGTATGAAAGACATCAACAGGACAGAGAAACCGTATGTTGCATCAATGGTTAATAAAGGATGAATAACAGCGTAACAGATACAAACGCAAAGTCCATCACATCCATACATTCAAATAAGCAAATGAGCACATAGACCGGTTTTTAATTATTTACTTTATAGAGCCATGTAGGAATCATTTCTTTGAACACCATTTACTCATAAAGTGTGTGTTCACATTTTGTATTATTTTACCGATAATGGGGTTTAAAGGACTATTTTTATGTTTTATCATAATCATGCCAGGACAGGGGCGGAGAAAAGTGGAATATTCTGTGCTGTATCAACTTTGTTGGAGAAAACACAAATTGACCAGGAAGTAAGTGTCGCAAACACCGTACGACATATAAAGTATAGACGAAGCATGGCCATACCGAATCAAGTAAGTGAAACTTTTGTTATATTTTTGAATTTAGCAGATAAAATATGTTGCTTTAATAAAAGTAGTAAGTAGTACAATTCACCGGGTATATTTGTGAAACAAATAACCGGAAATGAAATATGTTAGATAGTTTGTGTGTGTGGTTTGCTGAGTTTCATGTCGCACCAACACTTTAAAGGTATTATGGCAACTTCCCATCCGGTAGAAAAAAGTCTCAGGTGCCCCTTTTGTGCATTATTTCAGGCCAGAACGGGCACGTGTGTAGAACAACCAACGTTCCACAAGCTAGCTTGATAGTTTCCTCACATGAAAGTATCCAAACCCCCTGGCGGGACTCGAACCAGCAGTTGTGAGGGGCTCTCCGTAATTATGTGTGTTTTGACTGAAAATTATTAAATATAAACTATGTAAAATATTAATACTTTTGAATGTTTCATCTAGTAAAATTACATACAATTAAATCATAAGTAGAGGAAAGTAACAAGCCGATATAATAATTCAGAGATTGTTCAAATTTATGAGATTGAAACATATTTGGCACATGATACGAATTGTTATAAACGTATTGATATATTTCAGGAGCAGTATATTTTCTGTCATCAATGTGTGAATGAATACCTTCAATCATTTGATACATACTCCAATTTCGAGCAGAGCTCCGGAACATAATGATTCGATGTCTCGAACATTTTATAATACTTGAATTTGAATAGATAGCATGCCTTTTTAGCTCGACTATTTGCAAAATATAAGAGCTAATGCAGTCACCCATTTGTCGGCGTCGGCGTCCATGTGGTAAAGTTTTTACGTGTAGGGTGGTATCTCCATCACTACTGAAGGGATTTCACACACATTGCTTTTTTGTGATTGTCTTACATGATTGGCACAAGTCCCATAACTCGGATTTGCTTTTTTGCATATTTATGCCTCACACTTGTGACAGTGACAACTCTTTTGAACAGTTGAACACTCCTCCAATAGCTCTTGTTAAATTTCCTGCTTGCTATTTTGAAAAATGATGCCGTACTTTTAATGATCTCTTATAAAAATATCCCGAGTTTTCAAATTTCACAAATGTATTTTTGAGAGCACTTAAGTGAGAGCTTATTTTTCAATATTTTGATACGATGAAAGAAAAGGTTTAGTATTAAAGAGCTGTTTATAATAAATTCAGATCACTTATATACATACTGTTAATTTCCTTAAGCTTTATAATCATTTCGAGATGTATTGATCTTCACTTATATATGTGCATGTTGTATTTTATATTTAATATGATATACTTTGTTATATTTTGATTGTTATATTTTAATATGCGATCATTGTGATTGTTTTGTTAAATAACATCAGAGTGTTGAAATTTAAAGTTCAACATCAGTATCTGAATAGATTGACAACAATTTCTGTTTATCAGACAGAGTTTGCATTGGTGCCAAACAATAATTGCATGTCAGTAGTATCCATATATGAAAGTTTTTTCATATCCTGATTATTTTTAATAAGTTTTTTTTTTAATCTAATTCCATTAACATTATAAAGAAAGAAGCAATCCTGAATGAGTAAACATGAAATTGATGCTATAGACAGTTATGTAAATAGAATAAGACATGTTGCGATTTGTTTTTGGTCATATGACTCTTTATGGAAAGAATCTCTTTAGGATCAAAAAATATTTTATTCATATTAAACTGTTTTTGTATAAATCATTAAAGATGGATTTTCCTTAGTAGCTGCCTTTAATGTATGCTATACATGTATTAAAAACATTGTTTTAACAATATGCATCGCTTTGTTAGCAGGAAGATTAATGTTATTATTTGCTACATATATAATTATGCATTCCAACATGTTCCTCGTTATGCGTGAGGCGCGTTTAAGTGCCGCCGTCATTTCCTGTTATCTGCATTATGACACGTACTGATGGGTGTTGTACAACTTACATAAACATACACAGACCTAAGGGATATCAAATGTGTTTGAATGAATTAATTGAACGAAATAGTGAACATTTGACAAGGTTGCAATGATTTCAAACGAGGACAATAAATGTAATATGAAATCTACGCTTATTTCGGATTCTTTTTGTCAGTCTGAAAATACCGAGAAAGACCTCGCTACTATACACTAAAATGACACATATGTTATTAGGAACTGATGGACAATTTATGCCAATACTCTTAAGCGTATTCTATGCACTGTTTAACAGGGTCTGAGATAGCAGCATTGAGGGTGTGTGCAAAACTATATCTATATATTGTTTGGTACTAGGATTATTTTGTATGTCATTCGAGAACATCAAACGTTAAACCAGTTTATTTCCTGAACACACCAAGTTTGTAATCATTGTTTATTGGACACTGTCTTATTATTCATTTTTTTCTTTTATCATTTTTTCTATTCTATTGCATTATTGTTCAAATCGTCCTTATAAGGAATATTATAATATTATTCACTATAAGCTTTGGAATTTCTCAATCAGCTTTAATACAATTTAAAATAATGAATAAGTCATTTTCTGTAGACAAGCCACATCGTTTTCATATCATTGTATTTGCTAGATATTGTTTGGTATAAGAAAATATCATTTTATGTATCCTTGCTTACAACTAACATAATCTGTGTTTTCTATAATATTTCTATATAATATGGTACTAGGATTATTTTGTATAACATTCGAGACCATCAAACGTTGAACCAGTATATCTCGTGAGCAATACCAGTTTGTCATTTTTGCTCATTGGACCCTGTCTCATTTTTTTCTATCATCATTTCGTTTCCATTGTATTATTGTTTAAAGCTTCCTTATAAGGAACATTATAATATTTTTCATTATAAACATTTTTGTTGGTAAAAAAAAATATTTTTCAATATATTTTCTTGCTTACGATTAACATAATGTTATATCTCTTTAAAAGAGATCTGATTCATCACATGTACATTGTCATCTGTTGAATAAGTACAATTATCTACAGGAAATGTATACTTGAATTGTTGTATTATTTCATTGATTGAAATCACTTATACTTTACCTCCACATCAAACATCTGTTGATGAGCGACAGTAAATGTTTATGGCATGGCTAATTTTATAATATCTATTGACATTGTACCGTAAATACAACATGTACAACGTTTCTAAACGAAAAGAGGAATAAACTTGTGAAAGCAAAATTACAAAGAATAGCATAGCTATATTTTCCGTGTTGTTTGTCATTTCATTTTGTTTGTCTTATAACAAATAATAGTAACATTTATAGATATTTTAAGATAACAAATACAAACTTTTGTGCTTTTTTGTTTTTTTTTTAAAAAAAGCTTTGGATTATTCTGCCTAATTATATAAACCCGTACATGAGTCCAATAAAGTGGTATAAGAGTGGTGTAATCAGTGGCGTAATAACAGTGGTAAGTACAGGTTGTTTCATCCAGTCAATCGTGAGTTGTATTGTTTAAATCCTTTCTTTAATTTCAATAAAACAATGAAAAAAATATTTGCCACCTTAAAGGAGCATTTTTTAGAAACATGTTCAATTATAACTTTATTCTACCCTTGGAAATCTAATCAACACTGAAGTTAAATAAAAGTTAGCTTTTTAATAACTCTTCTTTTTAAATAATCATTTTTTAAGACGCTGAAATAAATTTGATTTATTTTGTTCGAAGAACATTAAAAAAAGAAGCAGTAAAATGTCTTAAATCTACAAAAGACCGTTAGGGCCATTTCAACTTCATAAATTCACGTATTCAATCAACATCACGAATTCACGATTTCAATTTCATTAATTTAACTTCGTAAATCTGAAATCTTAAATTTACGCAGTTGAATACGATTTGAATTTCACTATTTCAACTTATTGAATTCACGATTTCGACCTCACGAATAACGATTTCAACTTCATGAATTCAAGATTTACCTGCATAAGTTCACGATGTCTGCTGCATGAATTCACGATTTATACTTTACTAATTCAACTTCGTGAAGCTGAAATCGCGAATTGACGACGCAGTTGAATTCTTAAAGTTGAAATCGTGAATTCATAAAGTTGAAAACGAGAGGTCACGAAGCTGAAATTCTGAGTACATGAAGGTTAAATCGGGAATTCATGAAGTTGAAATGTCCTTACCGTTTTTGTGTACAAATCTAACGGAAACGAAATGGTGATAACTTTTATATTTTTATGCAAAACATTTTTAAAACAGCAGAGAACGTGAAATTTAGCAACTTGAAATATTTAGAAGCTTCAATTTCAAAACTGTCTCTTATTTGTTTATTTGACCCCTGGCTTATTCGAAACTAAACGAACGAAACTGTGTACCGATTCCTATGTCATTGGGAAAGTGAAACTTTATTTTAGTACAGACGAAAAAATTTGCTTTTATGATTTGTATGCACAATGTTTTTAAAAGAAATGTAAACAACATAAAAATGTTAAATTACAAATGCATTATGTCAGTTTAATAGACCGCCACTTATTAATTGCGATGTAAAATAAAACATTAGGTTAATTTCTTAGCTTTGTATACTACACGTTTATTTTCATAAATAAACTCACTATTTACATTTACGACAATTAGTGTAACGCATTGTGTAGTGTGTAGTAAACCTTTAAGTGGATAAGAAAATCTCTGTTGTTAAATTATATAGCAAATAATGGACTACCGAAAAGCTTCAGATACTGGATAATCAGTTACTTTATAGAGGTAGGCTTTAAATCAATTAGATTTAGCTTCTTCATATACTAAATACAAACGTTACAAAACAAGTTGCCCAATTTGGTTATACTTGAGCCGTTCGATTTTTATGAACTTTAAGATATGATTGTTAATATAGACATCCTTTTATAACACTATATCCTTTAATATGATTGTTCTAATGTAAACTTTCCTTGTCAACAAAATAAGCTGTAGAAGTATGAAATTAAATAATTTTACAATAATTTGAAATGGCAATGGTAGGTAAAGTCGTTTATAAGAGTATAACTAAAAGATGATGCTAATCTTACTTATCATAGTAAACACCGTTTTGTAAAATGGTCTAATATACTACCGTTTTAACAGTTGTCCAAGTTTAAAACACTTAACTATTTTCTATACTATATGGTGGCACAAAGATGACATGTGTGTTTTTTTCATTTATCTCGTGACGAGTTACTAAATCGTGGCCACGAGATAGCTAAGTCGTGGCCACGAGATACTTTGTCGTGGTCACAAGTTACTAAGTCGTGGCCACGAGATAGCTAAGTCGAGGCCACGAGATACTATCAGAACTTCATTTCTTCCGGGTTGAGAAATCATCTGACCTGTAAAAGCCAATACTGGTAAACATAATACAAAAGCTTAAATATCTTTATCTTTTCAATTAATATCATTAGGTTACTATTATATTTTCATAGTTTTACCGCTAACTAACAAAACTGATAAATAATATGTCATTTAATGTAATATAATGTAATCCAGGCAGTGTCTGCGTATCTTGAGATCAAATCGCTCTGTTTCTACACCCGACTTAATTTTTAATTTTTCTTAAGATTTACATGTATCGAGCTACATAAAATTATTTAAATGTTCAAGTGAGTTAAGAGAAAATATTAATCAGACGTAGATACTATTCTATTCCTGTTAAACTGCATTTAGATAAATAAGAATTAATTTCCTGTACGGATGTAACAAATAGATAACAAATACCCCCACAATCTAATCTCGACAAAGATCACGGATTTAATATTTAATAATGATGTCAATATTTCATTTGTTGTGCATGTATCGAGTTACTTAAATTTATATAAATGTTCAATGAAATTCAGAGAAATAGTTAATCAGGTGTACATGTAGATACCATTCAATTCCTGTTTAATTGCATTTAGATAAATTTATACAAATTTCGTGTACGGATGTAACAAATAGATAACAGATACACTCAACAAAGATCATTGATATATAGGATATATCCGATGTCAATATTTCATTTTTTAATAATGCGTTAATATATAAAAGTACTTTGCTTAGACTATCAATATGTCAAAGAATACTCATTTCTGGATTTATTAATACATTAGTATTTTTATTTTAATATCAATCACTGACAAATAAACAGTTGATAGATAGATAGAAAAAAACAAAAGAAAGAAGTATACTGACATTTTCCTATTATATTACATGCAATTAAAATTGTCTTGCTTCTGTTTTAAGATCTTTATCATGTCCTTAAAATAACAGGCAGAGTTAGTCTTGTGAGACAGTTATATAATCATACATTTCAATTCGTCATGTAATTACCGACAAGATCAGATTTTAAATTTATGTCAGTTTCAATCTGAGGGATACTCACCTTTCTAGATAGAAAGAATTACTTTGATGAATCGTATATATATATATATTTCCGATAGAAAGTCGACGAATATATTATTCATCAAATTGACATAAAGTAGACGTCGCTAAAAAGTCGAAGCGAAACCGCATCGACCTTATGCTTTAGGTAATATTTACAAAAAACTTCTGAAGGAAATGAATGAATTTACAATATGATAACGCTTAGTTCATGTTTAATCTACGTCTTTCTGAATTTTTCAATTTAAGCCTCAATCGTAATCCAAAGTTGACGATGTATATCGTGCTATAATTTTTATCAACGTTAAGTCGAATCGATTCTTTAATTCGAATTTTCTTTCTTATTAGCCGACAAATTTTGTAAAGATGTTGCTTTATGTAGAAAATGACATTCTGAAAAAGTGTATTAACAGATACATCAGGGTATATATATAAATCGTTTACCGCATTTTCGTTCCAAACGTTTTGTTCAAACATATATATGAATGAATGCTTCATGTTTATCACGATTTTTTTCATTGTATCATATGTGTACGTTCTGTCCCAATGTGTTATAGCACAATAATCAAAGTTACATGCTAGAATGAATGTAAAACTTATATATGGCTATTATTAATACATATTGATCGTATTAAAGATCAAATGTTTTGCCAAGTATTGAAGATCAGGCAATCAAAAAACTGTTCATTTGATAAGTTCAATATCTTATTCGGATATTCCTCAATTCGGATATGTTTTGAAACTAAAAATGTTGATTAATAAAAATATGCTCTGTTTGACAATAGCCCTTAAATTTAATTTTCATTTTTTGGCACAGGATTAGTATTCATATCTTAAAATATAAACAAGTTATTAATTTATGCAATCAATTTTCGCTTTTTAGAAGTTTAAGATATGACTGTTATTCTACCAGTTACAGAAGTCTTAATATTATAGCATTATACTCTTTGAGATGCATTGTTTTAATATATACCACCAATGTCAACAAAATAAACTGTAGATCTATAACTTTCATAAAATGTTAAAAATAGTTATTAACTATTAATTAATCGAAAATAGTAAAATCCTTTGTATCAAGTTGTATAGAGTTAAAGATCTTGCAAATCTAACCCATAAATGTACAAACTTTTTTGTGTAATGGTCAAATTAATAACTGCATAAGCAGTTGTCAAAGTTTAAAACACTTAAGTATGCTCTATATTGTCTTCCGGATTGAGAAATCTCCGAAGCGCTGGTAAACACAATACATAAGCTAAAATATTTTACTACCGCGATTGTAATTCACTTGATGATTTCGAAATTATTTTTTTTTATATTTTAATCTATGACAATTTTTATTTACTGATTGATGACTACACAAGAAGATTTTTCTCAGTCCAATTATGACAGAACTGTCAATGATCTATTTATTCCATTTGGAAGTTAAACATGAACGAGTATATCAATACATTATCAATTGCCTAGTCTGTATCACAAAAATATTCGACCGTTGTTAATATCATATAAAATTAAATTTGCTGATTAAAGTAATTTTTATCTAATCTTATTGTAAATATGAAACTGTATTAACGTGCTTTATCCTTAACTATATTCCTACAATGAAAACTTTTGACAATTTTAAGAGACAAGAAAGCACATTTGTATCATGTTTTAATGAAAAGAAAGCACATTTGTCTCATGCCATTTTTATGAATCATTTGTCATATATTTTTCAACGGCAGATTTTATTTCAGAATCGAGGTTCACCGTTTTTCCTCATGTCAAGTGCAATCATAAATGGGTTCGCTAATTCTTTTTTTATGAAATCTTAAACATAAAACTATAGTGGAACTATTAATTCTTATATCTCTTATTCAAAAAAGTTATTGGCTGAACATGAAAGGAAGGCGTTCAACTGTAACATATCTCGGTATAATGGTGAGATGACGCTAATAGCGCACGATAAGTGAAAGATATTCACGATGTAGTGAAACTGCCGCATGGCAATAATGATAAATCTCAGATATTATTTCACTAGTGTATATATAGCGCTTCATACGTGATTTATTCAATACCGTGTCATCGTGGTCATTCGTGCAAACCGTGTTTTTATCATCGTACCATCGTTCCATCGAGCTTTTACCATTGTACTATCGTGCATCACGGTTCAGAGAAACAAAAATGTTACCCATGTGCGATATATTAACTATGCAATATCATGACTCGTTTCGCATCTCGCCGGAACTCGCGGTCCTCTCTTCTCTCTCCATAATGTCGACGCGAAACAGACGACAGACGAACAAATTCCTCCATATATCGTTTAAAGAAGTTAGGTTCATACAAAACTGATATGAAATAATGATAAGTAAAGTTAGGGCATTCATCGTATTAAGCAATGCTACTGTAAAATCACTTAAAAACACACTGCTGTGACGCAGACGTAGAACCATCAAATTGAACACTTTAATTGAAAATTACTTTATCAAATACAACATTTGCTAGAAATTTATTCTAACAAAATGTCAAAATCATATCAATGATACAATTTAAACAGAAAACAGCTTAAAAGACGTCTATGGTCATGCAGAGTGAACAATAGTGTCCAATAAACATGTACTCGTCACATTACCGAGACAAAGCCAGATGCTTTTAAGGGCCGCCCATTGACGCGTGATTTCAAAACATCCCACTTAGCCCCTTTAACGTCGTAGGTTCGACTCTCACTCTCGGGGCCTCTGAACATATTCAACGCGGGAAAGCCCGTCCAAGTCCATTATGCAGGAATTAATAGTATTTATAGTTATAAATTACAAAGCGGTTAGTGGTCGCATAATTTCATACATAGAGTAGAATGATAATCAGTTCTAGCGATTTTTCTCTTACGAGATCATCAGCATTAAAATTCAATATTGAGATATATAAAAGAAATAGAGTATGTTAAAGACAGAATTATGCAAAATGTTTTATTAAGAAAAAAATTGTTGAGCCCGCTTGCGGTGAAATTTAATAAAAGAGGTCGATAGGTAGGCACATTCAGGTCTTAAATTTCTCATCTTACCCTGGTATTCTTTGTTTCTAAAATTAGAAATTCGGTCCGACCCCCCCCCCCTGTAACCAAGCTTCACTTAATCTTAACTAATTGCGATAACGGACGGACGTGTACGTTTAGCTTAAGTTAACCAGAACATGATTTGCTCTCTTAGATCTACAAATGGAAATGTTGAGTGAACATTTAAAGTTTAGTGATGCAATAAACTCACACTATAGCTAACTAAATGTAGCTACTTTTCGACGTTTTGTATAAGATCTGGACCGGTAAGCGATAGTTGATAGCTACCTTTCCTATTGCAAATAGATCGATTTAAAATAGTTCAAAATCGTCTTCTCACGACTCGGCCTAAACAAAAGTTACAGTTTTGCTTTAAAATTCGAGTTTAAACTGGTCCAATATAATTGTATATTTTGGAAACAGAAATCATTTCTGAGTCGATTGCACTTAATTTAAGAAAATTGGTTGAAAATTAACATAAATCTGGGACTAAAAATAAGGCCGGGTGATAGTACCGCCGGTGAACCTTTCTACCGTTACTTTATTAATTGTTATATATTGATAAAATTAAAATAAACAGACAAGCCACTCAAACACGAACATTTAGTAATTATTTATTGCATACGTTTCGGCTATATTCCTTCATCAGTGCAAAACATAATATTTTCCTTTGATGAAATTAAAAGAAACTCGCACCGACTGCCTGTGTCGCAGATGTGTTGACGGTATTCTTTAAGCTATTGGAACTTTCAAAAATATTAGTTATATATTCAATATTCATTCTGCGAAATGTCAAAGGCAAAACTGAAGTGGGATCGAATAGATACATGAGTGCTATAATGTATTGATAATGACAGATCCATAAAATCAAACTAATAAACGTGCCAGCATATTAGTGTTCAACATCATTTGCCAAGCATTGAAATCGCTTTGAAATAGAAAAAACAATCCTTCTAAATCGTGTAGAGAGGCAAATTTTGTCACTTTATATTAACTCGAACATTTAATACTTAAGATGTTGGAACGAAGTGCGCAAGTGTAAACTGAATGAAGTAGTCCAACGCAACGAACGTGCAAAGGTGTAACAAATTATCCAATATGTTTTATTGCGGGACGTTTTGTTTTTTACGCCATGGCGTAAATATAGACAAACCCCAAATATTTTAGTTGTTTTGAACTATTATAATATAAATCACAAATGAATGATGATTGTCATTTAAATAATTGTTAAATTAATGCATACAGTTAGGCACAAGTTAGGCACATGAAGGGCAAAGTTTAAATCCTCTTTACATTGTTTAAGGGTTACTTCGGTATAGTTCACATGGATGTGTCTTTATACCTAAGCCTCAAATGTATACATAGAAGGGCTAAAGTTATCACATAAATCATTCATGTTAAATTGTTTTCAGAAAGTTGAATATTGAAGAAATTCAGCGATAAACGATGTAAATGATGTGCACTTTGTTACCAGATTTACCTTTGCTATTAATTTATTGACTGACGATAGATGAAATATGCTTCCTGAACTCAGCTCTAACCATCGTATTGTAAACAACTTTCTATAGGCTGGAGGCATTCCAGCGATGCCAAATGAGGTCGAACACTAAGTAAGTTAGCTTTTATTAAGTGAACATTTTCATAATTAAATACCCACTGTCGCTCATTTCGGTCGCTTCCTTTGGTGTTCATAATTGTTGAAAGTTCACTTAATAAACACTTACATATACTTAGTGATAGAGCTCAGATATATGTCAGTATATTATGACATACTGAAGTGTAATTGACATATTCGTTATCTTCCGAATGTTTTATTTATTTTTTTACTTTTTATAACTTTATATTTGATTATTCTTTTATCTAGATAGAGTTGTTCTAAACGAAAAGCAAAAATGAAGCAACTTTCTGTAATGATGTTAATGATTCTTTGGTTCATCAAAGGTGAGTTATGTTGGAATATAATTGCTCTACATTTACAAACCAAGTCACTTTAATGATTGTTATTCAGTGTGATATGCTGATATTCTCATACTTACCTATTTTGCGGGCCGATTTCAATAAAAGTCCCAGCATATTGATTGTTTTATTTTGAGATATTTTAACTTAAAGATGTGAAAACTTGTAATTTTTTCTTTTACCTCCAATTAAAATGACACCTGACTTGTATATTGACACTGATTTCAAAAATGCAACACGTTAATATGAAAATTATATCAAATAGATCTTGAGAAAATAGAAATGTTAAATTAAATACGTTTTCAAAAATATTACAGAAATGATAATTCTTACTTTGTTGTCAGTTCCAGAAATGTTAAGACCTTCTGATTCAAATTGTATGCTTATATATAAAGTGGACTTGATTTATCTAATTGAATATCACATTTTATTTTATACAATGCATTCCTTGCATACACTCTCTTTTAACATAACAAAAATAATATTATTAACTATATAAACTAAATCATATAAAGGACTCCTTTTGTATATTGGGCACAACGAGATTTCTGTGCGAGCTTTAGGTAACCGGGCGTAATGTCAATTAGCAGTTTTACCTATCCTATCTTATTCTACGAATGAACATTCCACCAATAGTTTAAGATAGAGCTCGTCACACTAATTTCACAACAGCTACTTATTACATCTCCAAAAATCGACAAACAAATTTAAGAATACGGGACATTGTGAAAATCAACCCTCAGATTTGGCGTTCGTTTACATGTATACAAGGAATGTAAACATTTAAGAAATAGTTATGATTTAGCGATTTTTTGTTTTTCTTTGGCCTTTGATATCAACATATATGTCACAGAGTGAGTACAAGATATATGTTTTTTTAGTGGTGGGTGTTTTAATAATGTGGATTTTAGTGACAGAGACTGTCATACCTCTGAGCAGGGTATTAGTTTGTGCTGTCCGTCATCCCAATATCATATGTTGACGTCATCCTTATCACTTTTCAATTAAAAAGTTGTTAAGTTTCTTTATTTATTTTAACATTTTGTACATAATGTGTAAAAATAAATATGAGCTTACTGTAATCATATAAATTTTACTTATGACGGACTTTATTTACTAGCATTACATACAATCTTAAACAAAACAACAATAAGCAATGCAACTATTTATCTAAATTTAAATTGAAATAAGACTTTAATAAGCCTACTAATTCTTTTACAGAATATCACATCAAAAACTGAATTGAAAAATAACATGATTAATCGGGATCACTGTATTCTTTTGAATATTGCATACTGTTTAGGCTCAATTTTATCACAATTTTAATTTTCATTTTCACTGCTTCCGAGGAATCAACATGTTTCCAGATTTTTGTTTTGTGTGGCATCTCTTTCAAAGCTGAGTCTGTCATTTTCACTTTTCTTTTAAAATTGTGTTTTCCAGTGTTGAGAGCGAGATCCCCCGTCTTTTCTGAATTTTATGTCTTTAATTACCTTTATATTTGGGCAGATCTTAGGAATATTTTCAAAAATACAATATACTTATCTATACTGAATCAGATATTGCCTTGCCTGTGCAAACCATCTATTTAGGAATTATTATTTTCAAGGCATTTATTGTCATCTCTCATTTATTAAAATGATATTTAGCTCATTTAAAGTTGTATTCGATTTGTTTGATAGGTTCAGCACTCAACGAATGTGGTCAATGCATTTGTTGTAAAAATGGAAGAACACGGTGTCAGGACTATATGAATTATAGTCATTACTGTCTGGACGGTTGTATTGATGGCTATTATGGTAAGGAATGTACACACAAATGTTGCAATAATTGTCTGATTAGTACTGATCAAAATAAATGTCAAAAATGTGAGGACGGATATTATGTATATGGTGGCTGGTGTTACAAGTGTTCTGAAAACTGTAAGTCATGTTCATCATCCTCTGATTGTCAGGAATGCAACAATGGCTTTTTTATAGATTCGTATTTGAGTTTCGGAGGATATACAATGTATTGTAAGAAGTGTAAAAGTGTTTGTAAGTCTTGCACTAACGGAAATACGTGCTCTGAATGTCACGATGGCTATTATTTACAAAATAGCAATTGGTATTGCTATAAATGCCCAGATAAATGTACATCTTGTTACGCGAATCGTCAATGTACTAATTGTATACAGGGTCATTACGGATACTCCTGTGAAAATAGTTGTAATGTTGGCTGCCAAAATGGCTATTGTAATGCTCGTACAGGATATTGTAAATGTAAAACAGGTTTTATTGGTGTCAAATGCGACAAATGTATCACTGGATACGCAGGAGACAAGTGTAATAAGTGTGAAATTGGAAAATATGGTCAATATTGTAAAATCAGCTGCCCTGAAGGTTGTGCAACCAATCAGTGTTATCGTAATGGTAATTGTTACAGTTGCACAATTGGAAGACATGGAAATAAATGTACGGAATCATGTCCTGAAGGTTGTGCAAACAATAAGTGTTATCGTGATGGTAATTGTAACAGTTGTACAACTGGAAGATATGGAAATAAATGTATGGAATCATGCCCTGAAGGTTGTGCAACCAATCAGTGTTATCGTAATGGTTATTGTTACAGTTGTACAACTGGAAGATATGGAAATAAATGTATGGAATCATGTCCGAAGAATTGCCTGCATCATAATTGTAATTACAAAGGAGAATGCAACACATGCAATGATGGTTTCGTTGGAGACAAATGCGATAAATGTGGAGTTGGAAAATATGGCCAACAATGTAATATCGATTGTCCTACTGGTTGTGCTAATAACAATTGTTCCGATTTTGGCTTATGCTACAGCTGTAAACCTGGTAGGTATGGAATTGATTGCTCCGACTTATGTTCAAACGGTTGTGACTCAGACATCTGCACTAACAATGGAGACTGTTTCAGCTGTAAGAACGGGTTTCAGGGAAAGAAATGTGATAAATGTATCGACGGAAAATTTGGGGATATTTGCGATCAAAACTGTTTGTCTAAATGTATAGCATGTGTCTCGTTGACAAGTTGTTCCGCTTGTATTGAAAGACACTGGGGCAAAACTTGTCAACAATGTCCCACAAACTGCTTGAATTGTTCCTCAATGAGCACTTGCTCATCCTGTGAAAATGGCTTTCATGGACAAACATGCAATGAACAATGCAATGCTAACTGTTTTGGTAATCAATGTGATCGAAAGACTGGATATTGCAGCAAAGAATGCGTAGCTGGTTTTTATGGGAACTTTTGCACATTGAAATGTAGCTCTAACTGTCTAAATACTTCTTGTGGTAGAAAATATGGTGACTGCCTACATGGATGCAAGACAGGATACAACGGGACACAGTGCGCTCAGTGTAAGTTTTTAAATTATTGAAAACATTGTAAGTTATCACTATGAAATATAGTATTTAGTTACATTAGTTGACGAACTCATAATCAACATTTACCATATAATTTATAATAAACCAATTTGATTAAATTAACTGTAAATAATGCCCCACTGTTAGATCTAACCTTGACAAATACGAAGTAATTTCTAGTAAACTTTCACACAGCCACTCATCGGCGAGCTTACATAATTTGTGCCTTCTTATTTTAAACCTGGAAAACCAACACTGAGTAGGTAATTTTCGAGAACAAACAAAGCGTTGTCCAGATAGCCGGCAGATAAACTGGCAAAACAATCTTGCCCATTAAAAATGGACTTTATTATATCAAGTTACTTTGTTACAATTACTTTAAACATTTTCTTCTAATAAAAATCAACAATTGTTTAACTTCCACGGATAACGGTATTTTGATACTTCTTCTGATTCCTTTGTAAATTTGATTGCATGGCTAAAAGAGCTTTCTCGGGAAATCTGAATTATAAAGAAGGCAAATTATAAACGGTCGTCAAATCTGCATAAAAGAAATAAGTAGATACGAACTTTTGTCAGATTGTTTTATGAACATAATTAACGGCAAGCTATCATTTTGAATGACATAGTTTATATTTTGACTTCAGTAATAATAAATACTCAAAAGAAATGGAGATATTTGTTTGGAGTAACAATAGTATGGCTTGAATTTAAAATAGATAAGAATGAATTACGCACTTTCTCTTATATAAGAAATAATATCGATCATGTAAAAGGTATACGCCGATTGGAGTTCTTATGCGTAATAGCAGTAGACTCAAGTGGGTTTGTTTTTGCATTGAAACTGCAACAAAAGTGTTAGTCACCAAACACCATTCAGATTGATTTAATTTCGATCATAACATGACCACGAAAACACTAAATATGGGATATCACTATCGCTATTTTTCTACTGCTAATGTTCGTATCATCTTATCAAATTTACAATCAATGAAAAAAAGCATAATGATATACCATAATGATATACTTCAATAGGTTGTTCACCTAGTGCCAGATAAACCCATCATTGAGGCGTCTTTTAAAAATGAGTTGCGTGCATATGATGTGATTTCGTAAAATACATTTTATCGTTTGAAACAGATAGAATAAACTGTGTCTGGATGCTTTTAAGATTGAGTTGATAAAAATCATGAAAGGAAAGAAAAATATCATAAAATTACTTAAGTATTGATGCCGATATTTTTCGATGTTATTATTGTAGTGAGAATATTATAAAAGAAGCAGTAGGTTATTAAAGGTTATTTTATAAAAAACGATACAAGCTTTTTAACAACTGTAAATCTTTGATAAAACTTGAAACAAATTGCGTGCGAGACAAAAAGTGTTCTATGTTTATTCTATTATTTATTATAATATTTTGTTTACTTTTTGTATATCCTAGCTCTAGAATTGCTAAAGGAAGACGATAACAACACGAGTTTTGTAATTGAAGCATCAGTTGGTGCTGGTGCACTTGTAATGGTTGTTATTCTACTGATTGCTTTTGTTCTACTGATAAAAAAGTAAGTTGTGTACATGGATATTATTTTAATAACATAATTTGTAAATACCATTAAAAGTATTGTAAGTTTAAGGAATGAAATATTTTAACATACCTTACTCCGTTAAGCATGTTAAGTTTGTAGAACTAATTGCTTTTCTATTGTTTTAAGAAAATCTAAGTTCAAAACAGTAAATGTTTCTTTCATGTGTGTTGTATTCTACATGTCATAGCTATATGTTTATATTCATTAAAAATAATACAAATAAGCAGTTCAATAATAATACTCAACAAACTAAATGTATTATAATTATCATTATAAACACCTTTATTATCTTATTAAAATAATGGTTGATTTCCCGACGATGAAATTGAAATAGTGTTTAAATTAAATTTATTAGACCTTTAATTCTCATTAGCAAAAGGTTTATTTCTCATTAGCAAGCTACTTATCAAAATGAAATGATAAAAATATAAGGGTCTATGGACAAAAACTGAAAATTACGATAAGTTTGACTAAGTAAATCTTTCGTTAGTCAATCTGCCTCTCCTTCAGTACGGACCCATAATGATGAAACTTGCCATTCATATACAGAAATCAAAGTGCTTGTACCGGAAAAAGGCAATTGCATAATTGCTGTCACAAAGAGCCAAACATTATTATGTTGCACCAAGAAATTTCTAAATTTCTAATTTCTCTATATCAGAATTTTATGCGGCTTGGGTAGTGACCAAAGACATGTATAAGATTTCATGAAATATTTTCAGTATTCTTTCGAAAACAGATGATATATGTTAAAGTTTCAAATGAGTACCACCAGGTTGTCCTTCTCTAAAGGACATTTTCAGTCTAAATCTAGATTTAAAATCATAGGGTTCATAAAGTGACTTCTAATTATCGTTCTGAAAATGTATGCTACATACTAAAACTTTACAAATTTAACTGTTCCGAATTCACATAGGGTTATTAATATTAATCAGTCAAAATTAATTTCAGAGTTATAGTCCTTTAATAATGACCTCTATTTATAGTCATGCAGACATGCATTAAGACTAGAGTAAAAAGAAATATTTTCCTTCACAAAGGGCTATAAGTCAGTAAAACCAACGTTAGAGTTTCGGGTTTTGGATCAATTTTCGCGTGGTAAGTGACCTCCAATTATAATACCGAAGACATGAATTTAGTTTTAAATGAAAACCATCAATACAAATGATCATCTTCAATAATATTATATAGAAACTTCAAGTTGGTATATGGTTCAAAATGGGACGTAATGCTGTCCAAAACCATAGCAGAATCAATTGCTTTGAGACTCAAAGACATTTTTGTGAAGTTACAAGCAAGTATTTATGTGGTTCAAATATGACGATGTATAAGATGTTGCACCCAATCTTTTAGCCAAGTGATATGCCAAGGTGAAAACTGAGACAAAGAGGAGTAGGATAAGGCCACTTTTCTTCAAATAGTTGAGCAAAATGTTTTATCATGCTCCAGTCTTTTTAACAGTGACATGACACTTTATTTGTTCAATTTTTTCGTCACACATGCATTTAGATAGAAAGTAAAACGTTCCTCAAGAATAAGTGGCATTAAGCTGAAAATAATGGGACATTTAAAATAATTGTGGCGGTACAGGCTACACATTTTTTGGTGACTATAAAGTAGGATTTGAACACTCAGGTAGGGGAAATGTTCAAGGGGGGGGGGGGAGTAAGTGTTTGTCTTTCTGTAAAAGAATAGAACTTGAATATCTTAGTTGTCAACTTGTACGGACTATATTTGTCTAGAAAATTATAGTGTTACCCGATTTTGTGATAAAAATAATCAAAGAAACTTGTATGTACAACGACTGATACGCCTTACAGACCGGATACATTGCTCTCTTTTAGATTTGTGTTGTTGTTTGTTTGTTGTGTTTTGTTTGTTGTTTGTTGTCGTTGTTGACACTTTTGTGTAATGAGCCAATCTCTGAAATTGGCTTATTGTTTACATGTATTAACCGGAATTAATAAGAAAGAACCTGGTTCCACGGTTTTCTATAATACACACTTACACAGTAAACACTTCTTTTAAGTTATTCGTTTTAAATGCGTTTACACATGCGTTATATTTTGCAAATAAAAGACATTGAATCACAGTCATATATCAAACACATTTTAGATGACACTAATCCTATATTCTCATTGATTGACACAATTTTGTAAACTGCACGCCGATTATACTTTCATTTTTAAAATAGGTAACATACTTAAAATTAATTATTTAACGGCATTTCGAAAGCCGTCATATTTTTCTTGCAATAGAAATGATACCATTTACTGTAATGCTTTGCTTGACATTGTTCAATTTAGTGGGCTTTATTTATTACGAAATTATAATATCAAACTCATTTTACTAAGAATTCTAAGTTTCATATATCACATTAACGATTTGCTGGTTATCATTGTTTGAAATATTTTAATATCATGAAATTTGCAAGATAAGTATTTAAAGGAAGAACTATATCTTGATAAAATCTAGGCGTCAAAGAAAAAGCAAAGAAAAAGAAGGAATTAAAACAGAGGATGAAACGATGACGTACAGTGTGATAAATGATACTAACATCACGGCTGAAAACAATCGTACTGATGATATTGAAACAGATAGAGAAAATACTACTTACAACGTAATTCAAGATTCTGATTTGTCTACGGGTAATTCTCTTTCTTAACCGTGCTATTATTTAATATAAGTTTGTTCAAAAAAACATTAACAATGACGTTAAATTTATTTTTTAATAACAATATGATGATAGTATCTATCATATGTCGCAGTTCGGATAGGAATATCCGTGGAACGTACCCATCAATTTGCCGGTGACCAGGCTGATCATGGAAATAAATGTCATTTCATCAGTAACTACACACTTTAAGTAGCGTGTGAGTTTACAGGCATAGTGACAGTACTACAGGGGATTTAGATTGAGATTATTTACGAGATTGTATAAGCAGTCAGGCATTGCAATAGTTTAATGTCAATGTAAATGAGTGAAATTAATCATTCGTGTGAGTTTTTGGCTATTTTACAACCACATTTGACCAGTCAAGGATTTGTGCAAGACAATATAATGACCTAAGGTTTAGAGATTCAGTTGTGTAGCTAAGCCGAAATAGATAGTATAAACAGTTCCACGGTTTACGTAATCCTTAGATGCTGAAATTATGCATAGAACACTGGAATATGATAGTTCACTGTTTACGTAACCAGCATATAACAGTTTGACAAATATTTAGAACTGTTATTAGAACGTGGCGCTCTTTCAAAGGTTTTTATAAAAGGTTTTTATAAAAACAACAGAAATTTTCATATTTCATCTTCATGGCCATTGGCGTATTGCTCAAAATCATAGGTCTCGGTTTTCAACGACGAAATATTGCCTGTTTATTGTTGATCATTTTTCAACGGGGTCATTTTTTAACGTGTTGATGGGTCATAATATAATAGGCAAGGATCCATTTTCAACGTCGAAAATTGGTCAATTATCAGTTGAAAAGGACTTGTTGGTCTTTTTCAACGACAAAATGCAATGTGTTCCTTTTATTTAAAATAACTTGCTGTCAACTTTATAATGATATATTTTCAAAAGATTACAAAATATTTTAGATAACATATATGCCAAGCCTATCAAACCTAAGAGAAAAACAGCGGCAGTAAAATCATTTAACAGAAATTCAACCGAAGTAACAGTAAATAATCCTACCTACAAGAAATCAGAAACCAGTCAAACAGAAACGGTTAAGAAGGTCAAAAACAGTAAACCTCCCATTGCGTCTAAACCTGCCCAAATGTATGACAACAATGTAATTCCAAAACCAAGTGCTATGCAACCGACATCACACATATCACACATTGAAAATGATGCCGCTCTAGAAATAGAGGAGGATATTGACTGCTTGTCTAGCAGATCTAAATCAGTAAGCAGTTTCTTTATTGTATCTTTATATAAATATAAGTTGATACGTATTGATAAGGTTTTCTACATTCCGAAGTGTTTTCGTGACCATACAGTGTAGTGGTTTTAGCATCAGTTATAAGTTTTATTATTATTTATGTTGCTCTATTTCTAACATCATTCCTATTCTTTATTGTCATTCAATCAAATTATTTTTAATTATTGATATCAATATCAAACTACTTGGTTGATAAAAGTAATGATTGAAATAATTATTTGCATGTTGTATTTGAAACATGAGTATAAAATATTTTGTCAATTGTAGGTATTCATAGAAGAACAAAAGGCAGCAGAACTTGAAAATGCAGACACATACTACAATGTGGCAGCTGTTATAAAGAGGAAAATAATTCTCGATAAACTACCTGACTTTGTTGCCAAGAAGACAAAGAAAGATTTTGTTGATGAGTTTCAGGTACTTATGCATTAGCCATTATAACTAACCTTTGATAAATTTAAATTTATAGATAGTCTGTATATTAGATATGCCTGATAAAAGATGTAGATATATAATGATATGTGACTGTAGTAAAATGTTGGCAGTGTATGCTGTATTGTGTTTTTCAGGCTTTACCAGCCATGTTGATCAAGCCATACGTTGACTCCCAGAAAAGGGAAAACCGCTCTAAAAATCGCTACAAAGGGATTTATCCATGTGAGTTTTAAAGCTACCCCCTTGTATTATATACCATTAGGTCTTTATCAAAATAGATATGTTTTCTGTCTATTGGTGCTACTAAGATCATCCAGTAATTTTGGTTTCTGAGGATAAATATTTCAAAATGCACTTTGTTATTCATTTTCGAAAAAAGACAAATTAATAAAACACATTATACGTGTTAAAAGTCAAGAAATGTTGGGGTAAATATTCTTTTTGGAAGTCGTTTCGCTTCTTTTTGTTAACATTTGTAGTTATGTTACAAAATGTATGTTATTTGTTAAGAATTTAAGTTATTATATAGATCTATATTTTAAATATGATATTGTTTTCAGATGATGATACCCGTGTTGTTTTGAAGGAAGGTGACTCAGACTATATTAACGCCAGCTACATAGATGTAAGTTGATCAATGGTATTATGACTATAAACGGATTAATATTCTAATTGGAACTAGTTTTCACCTTATCGAGAAGCATTGAACTGAGTGAACTGAGTGAACAACACATATTTAAAATGAATAGAATTGAATATTTCATATTGCATTAATGTTATTATATTTTTACAGGGATACAACAAGAATAAAGCGTACATTGCTTCGATTGGTATGTTATTTTATTTATCTACAATACTGTACGGTTGACTTTGTTACTTAATATATGTAGCAGTATTTCCAGATTATTATAATATGTATTCTGATAAGCATTAAGGTGTCTGTATCCTGTTTAGTACGTATTTTAGAGTAACAAATATATTAAATGTAACGAGTTTCGCAACTTTTTTAAACTATGTTTTAAACAAAAATGTTCTAGGTAAACAATTGTCAGAACCTGCCAGCTCATCCTATTGCATATATTTCTTCTAAGATAGTTATCATGATGAGCATACATGCCATAAATGTCCTTTGTATTATTATTACAATTTATTGAAATTTAATTTAAGGTCAGGGATAATCTAACTTAACAAATTTATCCTGTTTCAAGTGTTCAAATTAGTTTAGTATTAATGTCGTAAATGTCCCGTATAACCATGTATAGAGTGGCAATGTTTTACTGATATGTAGACTGATATACTGTGATATTTTATGTTATTGTTTATTACAATTATTATACATTTTTAAATATCGCAAGTGAAAACTGAATCATAGTTGATAGTTTTGTCATCGTCATTGAAGTAAAGCCCATTTAATATACAAAATTTTAAAAATGTGTCTAAATAGATATTTGTACACAATAGGTCCGACCTATAAATACATGGGCGATATGTCAGCGTTTTGGATAATGGTTTGGCAGGAAAATGTCGGAAAAATTGTTATGTTGACAAACCTTGAGGAAGGCGGAGTGAGTTTTCGGGTTTTGACTTCTTATCAATTATATTCCGATTACTTTGTCTAGTATTATAAATAAGTTACTATTGTAAAATAAGTATTAATATGTAATACATTTCTCGACAAAACGACACTCAAATTTATTTGATAGATAATTGAATAAATGAAAAGAAAGTTTTTGCAAGATTAAAAAGATCAATTTTAGATAAAATTATCTTTAAATGATTGAAAGTATACAATGTTTTAAATATTGATTTGATTATAATCACAACTTTCTCTCTTGTTAGGTACCAAAATGTGATCTGTATTGGCCAGAGAAAGATTTCAGTCTCATGTTTGCTAACATACAAGTCACGTGTCATACTGAAGAGAACTACGCCGACTATACTTTCAGATCATTTTCTGTTCAAAAGGTAAATCACGATTACACAATTACATAATACACCGACAATGTAGTCCTTCTATAGAATAATTCGATTGAAAGACCCATTGTGCCCAGTAAACGTTATTATTATCATTATTATTATAATAATAATAATAATTATTATTATTATTATTATTATTATTATTATTTGGATAAGCATTTTACTTTTAGTGTTGCTGTTTTAGTCTCCAACAAATAACTCATTGGCCAAGTATCTGAACCATCTTTTATGTTGCCTTTTGGTTATTTGTCCACTTATATTGATCTAGCTGAAGCTCGAATATACCAAGTAAATGGAGAGCTGTCCTACCCCTGTCACATTATGTGTTATATTATTCATAATTCTAGCACACGTTTCGTTGAACTTAAAATTTATATTTAAAATGTTATTTTACTATAACATCTTTATTTCTTACGGCATCTGTTTAATAAATCCTTGTAATATTTGTTGCTTATTTTCACCCGAATCATGTATGACAAGATTCATAACACTAGCATGAATATTTCCAGAGCTATTCCCCCTTGAATTTCTTTTTATATAAAATGTTGGTTTTTGATCTAACTTCTCTTTTTTTAAACTTTAAATTTAAGCTTTAAGTCAAGTCCCATATAATATTAAATAATAAGTCTCAATGTTCATAACTTTTATTTCAATATTTTCCGAATTATCTTTTTGTAACTTCTTTATATCTTCAGGGGTTTACTAATAACACATGTTTTATATAAAACTTATGGACTTTACAAAACAATTCTGTAGATCTATTATCCTTTTAAAATAATGTTGAAATTTCTAATATTCATACAGCAAAACTATATCACAAAATAATTAAGATTGCGTTCATAATGAAGTATGCTAAGTAGTTGTTGAAATATCTCAATATAATTTAACAATTCACACATCAACTCTATAATTTTATGCTCACTTACACAGTAGTATTTATTGCTTGATTGTATATTACATTTTGAAGACATTAACGATATTAACTGTACTTCCTTCCTCAGGATTCTATCAAAAGAGAAATAGTTCAAGTTCATTTTACTGCTTGGCCTGACAAAGGAACGCCTGATGACGTCACGAGTTTGACAGAATTTAGACAGAAGGTTAACAGTACTAAGACTAAACTAGATGGCCCTATTCTTGTACACTGCAGGTAGTATAGATATGCGAGCATTAATATGTAGGCCAACGATTGTTTAATACGTTTAGTGTGACTATATAAGGTTACTCTAATTATTTTAAAGTCATCTTTTCACTTACTGTTAGTATTCAACAGTCTTATTATTGTATTTACGAACGTTTCTGCTGTAAATATAATGTAAACGATTTGGTAAAACCACTCCATCTTTATGTATTTTGATAAAAAAACACGATTTTTACGTTGTTTTTTTTTGTTTTCAGCGCCGGAATAGGTAGAACTGGTACGTACATTGCTTTAGATAGTATAACAAATGAGGGCGAGGCCGTGGGAGAAGTTGATATATACGCATTTGTAAGGAATATGAGAGAACAGAGGGTAAACATGATACAAACAGCTGTAAGTTATCACTAGATTCATATTCTCCGTCTTCGTTAAGTGTCCGACTGAATTAACATGATGTTATTGACAAATTTCATAGAAAATAACATGATTCTGTCTTTTGGTATCAGTTTTATCAGACGAGGCTGATATTTGTGTAAAAGGCCAAGACTTGCTGAACCCATTCGCATATATCAGCTAAACCTAACAAAATTGATATCAAAAGATCGAAGCATGTTTGTCTGGTTATAATCTTACACATAAAAACAGTCAAAATTACAAAATTATTTACTTTTAAATTGCGATCTTTGAAGAAAGTGCTATTTTGTTTAAACAAAATTCTTGAAAAGACATTTCTTCGCCAATGAAAAAACAAAACAAAACAAACTTGTCATTGAAAGACAATTAGCAATTAAACTTAAGCTATACAACCACGCGTCTTGATTTCTGAACAAAATGATTTGCTCAGCTATCTGACATCATTCATTTGGTACTGAACTATTCACCATCTAACTTGACTGTAATTATAAACGAAAATTATGTAACTATTACGTCTTGAATCGAAACTTTGAAAATGCTATGAGATAAAATTTTAAAAATTAAAAGTGCTGTACAAATTAAAATTAAGCAATTGAAAATAGTCACCAGCCTGATATCAAAAATTAGTATCAGACAAGTGTTATATGGTAGTTGACATAGAAGTTGCATGTTAAAAATACAATATAAGGTAAAACTATTTTATAATAATTATTGTGATATCAAGAATTTAGTAAACAAATGAGCGTAGAATTAAATAATAATTTATTATTCATATTAGCCAGTAAATCTTTCTTTAACAATTACAGGAACAATACCAATACCTTCATAACGCGATAGTTCACACTCTGACCTTTGACAGTAAAGCTGTTGAGGCCTCAAGGTTTAATGAATATATGAAGACGCATACCGAAGATTATCTGGGAAATATGTTTGAGGTATGTTTATTCCGATATTATAAATTTTACTGGTTTGGTTTTTGCACTTCCCTCCTTTTAAAGACACAAAGTGTAAGCGCAATATGTTTCAATGAACCCCTTTTCGAAAACAGTTGATAATTTCATTTTCTATAAGCAAGAGTAACGTTCTTATCAGCTGAATCACAGGCAAAAATATTGAATAAAATGGTAAATGTAATAAGCATAAGCAGCAGCTATTACAAAAGATTGATGAAATAAGGTTTTAATAAAAAAGTTTTATTTCCTGTCAAAAGATCTTTTGTCCTTTGTCCTCAAAGTTGTTGTTATGCCGACTCTAATTATTCGCTGGTTATGCTTTCTTATATTATAACCGCTGTGCTGCATCAATACATAACTTTTAGTAATTTTCTTATGTCTTATGCCAAGTTAAAAAGACATGCCTTTGTTTCAGTAGAATATGTGCACTAAGCATGTTTTAAACTTGTTCTATAATAGCCATAAAATACTTAAAAACAATGCACGCAATCATGTTAACCTTAAAAAGCATAACATAACATAAAATAAAAATTAAAACTCACTTATAAATAATCTTTTGAATCAATGTCACGGAAGTGTCGATGGTGTGTCGCCATCGCTCCATGAAAACATCTGTGATGGAACCCAATCTTGATAACGTCATTTTAAGGGTATCCATAAGCCGATGTTAGGGGGCGTGAACAAACGCTTAATGTCTTTTTTCAGTGTGCAATTTAACCGAGCCTGCATTATTTTGGTTTGCATTGTTTAGCCTGTGAGATTTCCTAGTTTACAAAATTATTAAGAATAGAAACTTAAAAATGTTATGTAGTAAATGACTTTTTGTCTACAAAAGAAAACAAAATAGTGTGTGAATCATTTATTTAGTTTTGATTATGTTATCTAATGAAATCATGTTATTTGATTTCTATTACTAGCTATGTACAATTTAAACAAGCATTTGTTTCTCTAAACTGTTTCTTTGTTGATATAGAAGCTTCAAGCGTCTGTTGAACAAAGAACGGATGATGAACAGGAAGATGTTAAACGAAACAAAACTTTAGTAAATAAGAACAGAAACGGTGCTGATATCCCAGGTAAGGCAGCAGGAATATGACTTTTGTTTTTTATTATGTATTACAGTACATTTGATATAATGTTTATTTATATAAGTTATCAGTACGATGCTAATATTGATTAAAGGAACAGTTTAAACGTGTACTTACATGTACTTATATGTTGTAGGAGATCGTAACAGACCTCGGCTATTCATGGCTAAAACTCAAGGTCAATCAGATTACATTAATGCAGTGTACGTAAATGTAAGTATTTTTTGTGTTTAATGCTATGAGTAGTATTTAGTCATTTATAAATGTAAAAGAGATAAAAGATTAAAGATAAAAGCTAACATTCAGGAAAAATCTTTTTTCCATTGTAATAAAGTTCTCTGGCACTTGATACAGTAAATTTTACAAGGATAGGATTCTCGATGTGCGGAAGCGTCGGATGTTTAGTTAAATCCACGTGAATTAAATGCAAGCAATTTATATGAAGATAACCCTATAAATACCATAATATGATTGTTATTTAAATATTAATTTTATATTCTACCATAACGTTAGGCATAATGGATCCGACTCGAGGTAAATACAGCTTTCTTTCTGTCGAGTATACATATGGTACATGTCTTAAATATAAAAACATGTATATGGTCAAACTATTTCGTAAGTGAACTCTGTGTACAATTTCAAATACGGTAAGATATATCACATTGCATGAGAAAGAAAATAACCTCTGTAAACACATGTCAGGAAATGAATCAATTCTGGAAGCATCTTTTTTACGCTCTCTATTTGATAAACGATGTTTAATCCGTCTTCAAGCTAATCTTACTCATTTGCCATTACAGAGTTTCAAAAACGTGAATCGTTTCCTGATAGCACAAACTCCTTTACCAGACACGGTTGAGGACTTTCTTACATTAATTGTTCAAGAAAAAGTTTCATGCGTCATCAGTATGGAAACAATGTCGTCAGCAAATAAGGTTGATATGAATTTTCCCACTCTTATGTTTAATAAGTAATTGTTATTGTAAAGTTTGAAGTTTTTTATTATAAATATTAAATATGTTTATGCATTTTAATTGAAATCACGCCGAAGCACATAAATTGTAAATATAGTGTTTGTTTATGTACAAAGATTTGTTTGTGATTTATTCTGATGTTCTGCTATAACTCAGACAAGATAATAGCCTCATCTACTTCTTTGTTCATATGAATACAAAAGCATCGTGGTCATGTGTTTGTTTATTTTGATATATCTATAAAAGAAAAGTTATTACATAATTGGACATCTCTCGTAATGTTGCAATTCATTCATATAACTCTGTACAATTTCCGGTAATTTAATTCAGGACGCTGGAATTTACTGCCCTGCGGATAACCAAACGTTAAGGAAAGGGGCCTTTACGATAAAAACTGAACGAGGAGATGGGACAGACCAATATCAGTTAAAGAAAATGAAAATATCCTATAAAAGCAAAGTATGGAGTTTTCATAAAAATCGAGTTTTGCATATACATGGTCAATATGGGTCAATAAGGGAAGCAGTGACCTAGGGGTTAAGGTGTCTGCCTCTCAACCAAGAGATCATGGGTTCGAGCCCTACTCGGGTCACGACCATGTTTCTCCATATGACACCAGTACTGGTTGGTTCCAGGAAGCGGACTCGAAAGTGATTAATATAAGTTGCAAGAACTTGTTTCGCAATCGAGCTTAAATAAATAGGTTTAAACCAATCTGGGTCAATAAGTTTTTTTTTATTAAATAGAAAAATGTTATAAAAGTTATGAATAATTCGTTAATACTTTATGTTAGCATAAGACTTTTTTCTTTTTGAATAGTTTTACAAAACATGTATCATGCGACTACATTTGCTGATAACCACTTCATATCCTTCTTTGCCTTGAACGTTTGGTTTCATGGATGTTTTTTTATATAATAACAACATTTAGTCTGGATCAGAAGAGATTATAGTACCACATGTTCAGTACACACAATGGGATAACAACAAGAGCATTCCGGGAGAGCCTGTCAAGTTTGTACAGTTTGTCAATGATATGGAACTAAAATTTAGCGGAACTGACACCAACCGACCAATGCTGGTCCATTGCTTGTAAGTTGACCTCAGTGAGAAAATTTGTTTTCAAAAAGTAAACTGTCAATCGTTGAATTGAAATTGTAAAAATAAAATTACATGACTTTCTTCAGTTGGGATTTTTTAGCCTTGTACAAAATACTTTGTCTAACGACAGAACATTATGTTGTTCAATATTTACACTCACAAAATTGCTCATACTTAAAAGACACATTTAGATTAACCGATGCTAGGGTTGAAGATGGTAGCTTATATTTACGTGTATGACGCTAAATATGTCCAATCAAACTTGACCTGCAGCATTTTAGCTCCACATTTTTAGTCGGTGTTACTTAACCTTTCGCTAAGATCAATTTTTCTCGGAAACTGTAAAGGCTATTCATTCCAAACTTGTTTTACATGTTTATTGCCAAAATAAGACGCTAGATAATTCTAAAAAAAAATGCAAAGTTATGCGAATTTTCCAACTAAGACCCTTACCCCTGGTTGCCCTTGTTTACCTTTTTACATAGTTGTGCAACCTTTTCTATGTTGTCTTTATTTCACTATCCAGCGCTGAGAAAAGTGGAGTGCGCTGTCAGAGGACAGTTATTGATTAATCATTTGGTGTTTCGCATTGTTTTAGATTTCAATCTTATCGGTTTTACAAATTTTGCTGATATTAAAATTTATAAAATTCTTAAACAAGATATTTAATTTGCTTACATATTTATCGTAATATGAAAATATGACACTGACAATAAAACATAGTGTAAATAATAAATATAAATATTGTTTGTGTCTGTAAACTAATTAGTTAAATTTCTTCAAATGTTTTATTTAACCTTTCAGCGTGAACATGTAGCATTTAATTTTATTCATCGCGTGTTTCAGAACTGGAGCCAAAAAAGGCGGACTATTTTGTGTTGTTTCAACTTTGTTGGAGAAAACACAAATCGACCAGGAAGTGAGTGTCGCAAACACCGTACGACAAATAAAATATAGAAGACATTTGGCTGTGCCAGATAAAGTAAGTCGGAAACAAATTGATAATATTATTTTATCACGCTATTCCTCTGTTAGTACCAATCATTATTGAGTCATTTAGAAAATGATAATTCACTAGAGAATTAATTTTATTGGACCCGTACTTTAGTAAATTTCATAATATAAAATATACGTAATACAGATTGTTTCAAACAGAAAACTATTTTAATAAATCCATATTTATCTCTAGATGTGTATATCTTAACACTTCCTTTTTAAAATATTATGTATAAAATTTACTTCCTTTGACAGTGCATTTTCTGTCATCATTGTCAACCATTCTTTTTGTAGGACCAGCAAATTTTGTCATCATTAAACTAATAATACAGTTCTTTTTTAAGACCAGTAAATTTGTTTCATCCTTGTTTACACATTCTTTTGTGAGGACAATTAAAATTTCAGTCATCATTTTAACCATTCTATTTCCAGGAACAGTACATTTTCTGCCATCATTGTGTCAACGAGTATTTACGAACATTCGATATCTACTCAAACTTTGAACTGAAGACATAGACATTCAAAGACAGTTTTTCGTGACGACAAAATCAAACAATAATTTCTTTTTGTAAATAGATGTTTGTTATTGCTGTTTAAGTTTATATTTACGATAATCGCTTCATTTACCTACATTTTATCAGAGTTCTTTACCCTTTATATTTTTTCCATCTGATCAGATTTAAACACTTTTTAAAGAGTAAGAACCTAATAAGAACCTACTTTTTACCAGCTAATGATCAGTACAATCTCTACAGAGGAATACCCTTTGGTAGACAAATATATTGCATGCTGCCAAGACGTGTTACTGAAGAAAAATCATATCCATTGTAAAGTTTTCCTTTCAAAGAATATTTCGCCACCTTAGTGCAATAACCGATAAACTGCTATTGAATTTAGAAGGGCTTGTTCCGTTATTGCACTAAGGCGTCGATATACTGGTATTTTAAAGTGGTCACTACTTTTAAAATGACAGTTCTGCTGAGGTTGGTGCTAAGAAGCGGAAAGGATTATCTTATCATTTAAACAGCTCAGGCAGGGAACATGCACGTTTTTTCCTTGTCTTTTTTGATAGAAAGGAAGTGTTGACTTCTGAATCTTTAATGTCATCATTTTGTAGATGCGTGCCCTATTATAATAAACGAATGGCGAAATACGCGATATTCACATATATAAATATACAGAGACAATGAGGGGTCTAAACAGGAGGTTCCTCATTGCTTTAACATTTCGAGGAGACAAAGAACCAACATTTGTGGGAGGCGAAAATCTGACTGAAAAAAGTTATATTCAAGAAACACACACTTAATAATAATTTGTTGTTGTTTCATTGTTTTGATAATACTGAATGTTTTACTTGACATTTTCCCTTTTTATTGAATATTTTATTACATGTCGAATTGATAAATTATGTCGAAGAAAACGAAAACATATATGTTTCTGCATATCTTGTTTTCAAAATATACAATACATTATTGATATTCCTAGAGAGTTTAAACATTTCTATTTCGGTTTAACGGTTTAACAATAGCAACTAACTATAGAGATAAGTATTTTAAATATTTTACAACACTTGAAAAACTATAGACTATTAATAGTATTTATTATAAGCATATTTTGTTTTTTTAAACAATAAATTTATATTAACATATGCAACAACAATGAAACACATTTCTTAAGGATACAACATGTTAGTGAAAAATTGCAACAAAAAAAGTATATAGTTCTTTGGAAATTTTGTGAACTTTTTTACTTAGGCATAGAAAGAAAATTTAAAATGATCGCATATAATTTTCTTAAACGGTGCTTAGTTAAGTTAAAGTAAATTGATTAAAAAATCACGTAGGATGGTTACCGCCCAACTTTTTTCATCAATATTTGTAACTCATCATTGTCTTGAATCATGCAAATTTGAAGAAAATACTCCGTGATAATTGTTTTTTTTTTTTGGCTTTTCAAATTAAGAGCCTTCTACATAAGAAATGTTTAGCATTTCCATGTAAAACATGACTTATTTAAATACGCATATAGATGCTATTAAATTTGATTATGCAGGTGTTTGCTTTATTAAATATATGTATATTGAAATACATTTTAACATAATTTTCAAAATATTTATGTTTTATACCAAAGGTTTCTGTACTAATTAATGTTTACATTTTATAAACACAGGATCTTTTTCCACAAACATGTCAAAAGGTGCAAGTGTTTATTAATGTAATACTAGTTTTGTTACAATGGATGCAGCCATTTTGAATATTATTGGCAGCAGTTCATTGGGCGTTGGGGTGAAGCCTATATGGATCTCAACATTGAGCATCGGCAATAAAATATTTGAATTTCCGCTGGCTAGCCATATGTGCACTAAATCACCATATGTGACATAGAAAGAAGGTCAACTTTTAAAACATTAATATAAAATTATTTTTAAGAAAATCTAAATGTGATTCTTTTGTCCTGATTTTACTCAGTATTTACCAATTTCGTACCAGGTCTTCGTCGGTAATATATTGTGGGTTCTGGTGTGTCAAAAAAAAATGCAATGCGCATTAAGAAAATATGTCGCTAAACGGACTCAAAATACAGATATTTTACTAAATTCTTTCAACGAACGATGCCCTGTGAATGACCAACTTTCTCTGTCACATATGGTGTTGTACTGCACATTTGGTTATGCGGAGCAAAATTCACAATATGTTCAATATTGAGAAGCATATAGCCCAAGCTCCGCCATCATTTCCCAATCCCGAGTAATGACATATCATTTTACTAAAGTTTGACACAATACATGTAGTTGCAGTATAGCCATGACAATTCACGAATAAAAGTGCTTAAACCTTAATGAATGATATTTACACGTTTATAACTTAAAATGTGCTTTTTATATAAATTATAAGAAATCATTTTCAAATTGCTTCGAATCGAGCTACTTCACTTATTTTAAAATCTTCAAAAAGTAGGATTTAGCTATGCTTTTACATATTTGCTTCTTATTTATACCATGTAGTATTTTAAAGGTCTAATCTGGCCCAGAAATGCCTTTATTTTTATTTCTTAAAATCATTTAAGTTTCGGTTTACTGTAAAAATTTCAAAAAAGAAAAGAAAATAATTAACCAATTATCTGAGCCATGTTATTCTTCAGTTGCATTTTGACAAATATTACAATTATAGTGATTTCGTATTTTGTATGGAAGTCAAAATACTACTTTGTTTAAATTTTGTTTCTTTTTTGACAAATTATATCACATTAAGAGCTAAACTTTTAGGAAAAGAAATTTACATGCTCTAATATCATGATTTAAATGTTATTGTTCCGCGCCCAAGGACCCGGCTCTGGTCAATTAATCTCTTCGATTTACAGCTTAAAAATAAACTCATAACCAGAACGTTATGCCAATTTAAAATTGGACTGCAAAAGATGTGAACCTATTAAGGGAAAACTAATTCAAGGACTCCTTTCGCCATATAAGTGTATTCGATTTGGCTGCCCTTATTATATCATAATATACTATTTGCAGCGAAACACATTTTGAAAAATAAAATAATGTTTGCAGATTTTGCATAAATATATTTGTTAAATATACATTCCTAATTTTATGCTTTTGAGTGGATTACTGATTTATCCGACAAAATTATATTTGATCATTTCACAGTGAAAAGTATAAAAAAGAGAAAAAAATCACACTTTTCAATAAAGAGACTACTTTTTAACCTTTTCCCCCTTGTGTTACCTCACTTTTATTTCATGAAAAGTTCGTCTGAATCTGAGGCTACCAGAAGGATTTTGATATTCAAATTGATAATAATAGTATCTTTATTTAAAGAACATAAATAATTCCATCGTAGACAACACATTACATATCTCAATTTTAAATGTGGCCTTCTAAACAATATATAGAAACACAAACACAAAACATCATAAAACAACAACAACAACAGTGTACTATTCCACAAAGATTTTGTCCCATAATATTTTTTGACAAACGCCCCTTTTAAATATTAAATATCATTTATGAAATTTTCATTTACAAATATTTAAACAAATATACATGAATAATAGTTATTAAAACATAATGACAGAGTTATGAAGATATTTATTTGATCTGCAAAATATGTTTTAATACTTTTTTTAAAGATTCTCACATAATTAGAATAACGTATATTATATGGTATTCTATTCCAAATCTTTGCAACAAGTATTTTACCATAGTTTAATGATCTAAAATTGTAAATTTCATTGCTGGAAAAGTCAAAATTTCAGATATATAAGATGGGACTAGGTTATTACAAGCTTTGAAAATAAGAATTCCAGTATGAACATTACATCGTTGAACGACATCCACCCAAATTCTTTATGTATATCTTGTCTTCTTATTCGTGATGTATGTTTGTTTAGAATAACCCTTGCAGCTATTTGTATTTATAGATTTTATTTAACGACCTAAAATTTACTTTGCTTCAATCAGTACAGTAGTAATTAAAATTCGACATTATATACACATTAAAAAATTACTGTTTCATTTCATCTGTCAAATGGTAAAATATCACACCACACTAATGCTATTTTAGTTAAGTTTTGAACAAAGTGCTTCAATTTGGTAGTTCCATGACAAGTTATTCTCAATATAAACACATGATATGTTTTGTGTATTTTAACATTTTCTATTTTTTCGTTTTGCAATACAAAACGTAAGTTTATTACAATGATTACTTTTTTTGTTTCGTACATAATATCATGCATTTTGTTTTATTTGGATGGATTAACAAATTGATTGGAATAAAAAGACAATTTGTTTGTTTGTTGTGTAAGATGTTATTTTATTTTATCATTAGTACTTTTTAAACAGTATTTTCTCTCGCAGCCACGCGCGAGAAAACTGCTTTTCAAGCTCCAACGATGAAATAAATTTTTATATCATAATGTTAAAAGAAATTTATCAATTCTATATAATTTTATTTTATTTGACAGAGCCAAATATAAATTTAAAGACACTTTGTAAAAGAAATGATCAATATCTAAGTTCTGGTTTCATTTCATGCCTTTCAGTGTACAGTAAAATTTAATTTTTGATAAGTTCACAGTGAAATTAAAAAAATATATAATTCTCTCAGTTTACTGACAAATGTGAATGTGTATGAAAGGATGAGTGGAATATATTAGTGGACATATCGTCAGAAATAGACTCCGCCGTGAGTGAAATATACACTTGGAAATAAGTTAAGAACATCCGGCATTTTGCCTGAATTTTGATTTGCCAACAACTGAAATTTTTAATTTTATTTTGGCAATGGTACTTACCAAATGCAACAACTGGAACAAGCTCTGAACCAAGAATGGCAACTTTTACCAAAACATCGCATTAACGCCTTACTGGTAGTATGAGGAGAAGGTTTGAGGCTATCATCTTGGTACATAGCGGTTACAGACGTTATTGAAAATTGACTACATAATGTCATTTAAGGTTACGTAATCGTCAATATTTACCAACAATATCCACCAGTTGAGGTTTTATACGTGTTCCGACACCATACCAATGAACGAAACTCATAAATTTACTGGTTTATGATTACTTAATTATACTGCTACTTATCAAATTACTAGTTCTTGGCTCAATTTAGTCAACATCTCATGACAGTGCTTTTAATCAAATCTAATTTTAAATTTCCGGGATTGCTTAACTTATTTCCTGGTGTATTGTCATGCCTTGTTATGGGGAAATCACATTAATTTTTGCAAATATCATTTTTAAAATGTATAAAAATTCGTATAATTTTACAGATTTATTTTTTTTCAACAAGAACAATGTGACGTCATGATTTGATAATGTCAATAATGATAATCCGTAAAACACCTAAATAACATGTAATAAATAGAAAAACTTGTGTTACGTATGTAAGATCAAACATTAGCAGACTTTTCATAAAAAAATCTTATGATTTATCTTAATTTTTTGACTTATCGATAATCGTAAGTTAAATCTTAAGCCTTTTTTTCAAAGCCACTTGTAAGTTCAAATTTTATCTTAAGATAGAAAATTCACTTACAATATAGTTCACGATGAAAACATTCTTGGGACGTTCATAAGATATTTGATATTGATGTGCATGCTCTATATTTGGTTCCGGTTTAAAAGTAAAGTGATTTAGAGCTTGAAATAGGTATTTAACACAATCAAGTTCCAATAAAAAGAAAAAAACTGATTATAACTGATTGATTGAAGATGAAGATATGTATCTTTAGAAGTGATTCAGAAACAAAGTCTGCTACGTTATTGCTAAGGTATATATAAATAAAAATATGCCTCAAGTATATGCTAGCAATTAAATCGAACCCACAAAATTGTTCGTCATCAAGTCATGACATCACAAATGTTTTTGTTGAAAAGTAATTTTAACTTAATTAGTTTTATTTATAACATAT